GGGGGATGAGGGGGTGGGAGGGGGGAATGGAAAAGGGCGGAGGAGAGGGGGGAAATATGAGAGCGAGAGCAGCGAGGCGAGGGGCGGGGCGGGGCGGGGCAGCTACCTTGTCCGCTAGCCGCCCCTGCAGCTCGCCCCTCTCCCGGGAGCTACGCTGCTGCTCCTGGCTCAGCGCCTCCTCCTTCTCCCGAACCAGGCTCTGGGCCGCCAGCAGGTCCTCCTCCCGCTGCCGCACGGCACTGCTCAGCTCGTCCTTCTCTGCACTCAGCGCATCCAGCCTCAAGCTCAGCTCTGACCCGCTCTGTGAAAACCTGGTGTGTGAGCGAGGCTTCCAGAGGCCGCGCCTGCCCTCCTCCCCACCTAATCAACAGACAGTTCCTGCGGCCCCATTAGACCGTGGGCCAAGGACCAAGTCCTGTTTCTCACGCATCCTCCCAGGTACTGGGTCAGAGCCCCACCCCAAGAGCACCGAGGGCCCCTCTGAGCCAACCCTAACTCCTGTCCCACCCGATCCCAGGAGGCCACCCTACCCAGCGGCCACCACACCTGCTCCGTGCGGCTCAGGGCCTCCTGCGCGCGCACCAGCTCTCCAGCCTTGGCCTCCAGCTCCCTCTTCAGTTTCTCCAGCTGGTCACTCTGCTCCTCCAGCTGGGACGGGACAGGACAGCACATCACAGGGACTGTGGAGCTGGAGGGGACGCTGCGGGGTGGGGGGAGGAACCCACCAGGCAGGGCCTGTGCTCACTGGACGCACCTTCATCTCCGACTCCCGCTTCACCTGCTCCACCTGGAAGGCCAGCTGCTCCTTCACCCGCGCCACCTCCTCCTGGCTCTGCTGCGTCACTGTCAGCTGCTTGGCCGTGTCTGCGTTCTGCACAGGTGGGGGCCAGGCTCGGACTTGGGCTCTGCAGGCGCCGGGGGCTCCCCTCCTCCCGCAGGCTCCGCCCCCGCCCGGCCCACCTTCCGGAGCAGCTCTGCGTGCGTGTTGATGAGCTCGCTGTGCTTCTCCTTCAGCTTGCTGTAGCGCGCCTCCGTGGCGCTGGCCCTCTCTGTGCAGGAGGGGAAGGCCGTGAAGCCCACCCCGCGGCCCCAGCCCACCCCCCACCGGCCCCGCTCGGCCCCGCTCGCACTCTCGGC